CTAAAATTTTATCAAGGTACGAAAAAAAATACGNAAGATTGGTACANAGCTCTACATTATATANACCAAAGTATTAGGGCTACACATAATTAGGCTACACGTAATATAATTATGATAAACACTAAATATTAAATTATAATATTATTTGTTGATTATGTTAGGATAGATATAGATAATTAACATATTATTTTTTTATTTTATTAAGATAAATATAGAAGAAGTTAGGATAAATAGAAGATTAACATTTTAATTATATCATATCAAGATGAATGAGCTATGGGCCTGCAGAATAACAAATTCGAACAAAACCCATTAGATAAAAGGAACGATGGCAATGCTTGTAAATAACGATTTCATTAATGGTATTTTCGGCAAATCAAATCTTAAACTCGCTGTAGAGCCGCCACATAGGAAAAATGACTTCTCTTTTATAAGTATAGATAGCCATGGTGGTGAGTTATTTTAACAAGTAACCAAATGATCTAATGGTTTTCTTAATTAGCCCTTCTCAATCTTTAACTTCACCACCACTACCACGGCCACAATTTTTGAAACCCACCGTCGCCAACCTCACCACCACAATCAACAACATCATTTCAGAAAAGCACCGTCGCCATGCCGGAGCCGGTGGAAAAATTTACGGAAGATATAAGAGTGATCGTACAAGGCTTTGGTGGAGAGGAAGTGGTGGGATGAGGAACGGAAAGCTTATGATCTCGGAGGCAAGGAGAAATGGCGATAGAGGAGTAAATCGATGGGAAATACATAAGGTGATGGAAAAATTGTTCTCATCGGTGTAGATAGAATCGTCGGAGACATCAAAAACGTCGGAGGATTGGAAATCGGAAACTAGGAAAGAAAAAAGAAGATGAGGAGATTGGGGATATTTTAGTCCATTATATATATTATACATGGTATATTATAGCCATCTTTTTTAAATGGTTATTTGTTGAATTAATAAATTTTTGTGAGTTACTTTTGCTAATTTTCCAATTTATTTTTGGTTTATTTTCATAATTTTTCCAAGAAAAAAACAGAAGGTTGTGTTGTACACTACACGTGTAGTTGAAGAGCTTTCCAATGTAAAGTTGTATGGGCTCAAAGTGTGGTAACAGTAGCATCACTTTTGTTGTACAAATCTAACGCATTTGCCTTTCGCTTTTCCAAGCGGCATTTTAGTAAGAAAGGACATAAATAAAGGCGAGAAGCGGATATTTGCTTTTTTGGTCAGTTTCTCGTTCAAGTACATTAAAATAATGTGAGTTTTAAAATTATAAAATTAAACTTTCTTTTTTTGAAAATTATAAAATTAAAGTTCATTGAAAATTTAATCAAAAATGTGTTGAAAGCTACGATTTTTTTCTAAAAAATAGGCCTCGTGAAGATTTTTATTTATATGTTGTTCAAAAGTCGTAAGTGCGATATATGTTTGGCTAAATAAAAGATCCCTATATTTATGTTTATGATGTATGAAGTTTTTATAAATAATCATGTAGTAGTTGTTAAACATTTGGCATGGGACATGGAATCAAAAGAGTATATCCATCGTCACGGAGAGACCAAAAACGGGCCTACGTTAGCCAATAATTGCAATGTCCATTAATCATAGCACACGACTCCAAAAATTATGTAGTTTTAAATTGTCAAGTAGCGAACATCATCCATACCAAGATGGTCACCTACTTCTATAAACGCATTCGACAACTCTCTATTATGTATTATCAATTATCACTAAGACTAATCGAAGTGGACGTGGCTAGCTCTCTCATTAAAAATGTTTATTTATCTATATCTAAGCGGAAGATTTGGTATTATCTAGCTTTGTAATCTATTTTTTTCATTGTGTAATGTTTTTCTAGAACTACGTGAATGATTGGTTCAACTGTAACTGTAAATTTATTGTTTTAGAAATTAGTATATAGATTTTTATATTGTAAGTTGATAAGTGTAGATTTTTTTTAATGTGAGAAAATCCTACATTTTTAAAATCATAGAATAATTGTTTTTTTTTTAAAACTAAAGCATGAACAAACAAAAAAAACAAAGCGGTAAATGTTGTAAAAATTTTTTAAGGGATCGTAGAAATTATTCTTTTATATGGGACATAATAAAATACTTAAAATCTGATTAGTAAGCAAATGTTATAAGAAAACTTCAAGGGATTGTAGAAATTTTTTAAAACTCAACCACTCACACTCATATCCGTCATAAATCATAATGTAATCGGTTTCAATAAATAAAACACAATGTTGTTTTAAGAAAATTGTGTTGTGTGAAACAAAACAAACAAAATTAATAACCGTTAAATAAAGAAATACTCATTAAATGTAATTTAGGCATTTGTTAATCCTATAGACTAAGAGAGAGCACATGTTTTGATGATATGAATAGAGGAAAAAGTATCCCTTTTAGGGGTAGCCGAAAAAAGAGAGAAGAAGTTCGACTGAAATATTAATCGATAACTCTTCGATTATTAACTCAAAATAGGTAGTGGTTAAGGAGAAATCAGTTACAAGATTCAAGAAATGTAGGGTTCGGTTTCAGAAAATGTAGATACTTAATTTGTTTAGGGGATTTGACTTAACTATTATTAATCGTTTTTTTATAGTTACTAATTAGATCTAGTGAATTTTATTTACAAATGGTCGATCAAACAACTCACGTGCATGCGATATAGAGACCATATCTCAAATAGAGACCTTCCTCGAAGTTTCCTACCTCACAAGCTTACAATATATCTTTGTTTTTATCAAAACATAACTTCAAACTCATTTTCTTGACTTTTTTTTTATTGTGTGATTTGTATGCCTTTCATCGATTGTTGCTCATACGTACATATCAAACAGAGCCAAACGAGATATATGTGGAAAATTCCAAAATGAATAGACACTTATGGAGCTTTCCGGAATAATAAATAACATAGTACATTAGCATTCGTACACGACACATGTGTCT